TCCTTTCTCTTTGGAGTGTTACAAGCTCTTGGTGCATAAAGAAGGTCTGTAAAGTTGCAAAGACTAAAGTCTCAAATCCAAAGAGATATTCTTTATAAAAGTTAAGAGTCAGCCACGCCTACCTAAAACGGCTCGTTCTAACACGCCCCCACATGTCTACGTCACGATGTGGGAAGATTTGCATAACTCCGCCCAAATGTTCAGGCAAAGAAAGAAGGCGTAACTTTTATTCTCGCTGTAGTATTGTTGTTGCCGCCGCCATGTCGTGAAGGAGCTGTGTGTTTTGTTGTGAAAGCGAAACTACTTTGTTTGGTCTTCCAAAAGAGGACGATATCCGCTTCGTCATGCCTGGAGATAATCCGTGCTGGTCGCTGAGGAAATGCATCAACTTCACGCTGTGGATCGCCGGATCGGCTTTCACCGTGGACGAAGCGGAGTCCAGCCCGGGGTCGTCACATGTGGTTGCCACAAGCCAGCCAGCCGCTCCTTCGTCGAATCCGCCGGCCGCACCGTTCTCAAGCCCGCCACCACTCACTCAAGCTGGCCTCCGCATTCTCAAGGCCGCGGTGTGTGCCGCTGTTTCGTTGTGAAAGCGAAACTGCTTTGTTTGGCCTTCCAAAAGAGGACACGACTAGAAATCAGTGCTTACGTTTTATTTACAACATTGTTCCAGAACAGTTTAACCCAAATATTCAGATGTGTCCAGCGCATTTTATGGAGGACTGTTTTCTGATCCTGGTAGAGTAGACTACAATGCCAGCTGTTCTGACTCACAGACTGTAAGTACGTTTTTTTATATTTAAAGAATTTGCCACTAACGATTCAAACGCAAGTTTTTTGGGCAGTGTAGAGTAGCACTTGTTGTTTGTAATTTCTCCGATCACAAATGCAGACATGGTTTTATGTTTACGCGGCGCGATGCAACACTTCCGTCTCACGCTTGAGATGTTCGGCCAATCACAACGTACTGGATAGCTGGCCAATCACAGCACACCTCGCTTTTCAGACCGATGAGCTTTGTAAAAATCGACGCGTTTCAGAAAGGCGGGACATAGAGGAGAAACAATGATGTACAGTATGTGGAAAATGTTTTTTGAACCTTAAACCGCATAAACACATTTCATTACACCAAATACACAAAATAATGTTCTTTTTAGCAACATCATATGACTCCTTTAATTGTTCCTTGTTTTATGTAAAGACAGAAGCGTAAAGAGAGAAAACAGCAGAGGAAACTGGAGAGACAAGTGCAGGCTGAAGATGGAGTGGAGTGGACTGGAAAGAAGCGTTTGTGCAGGTCAGCAGAGCCCAGCTCTCTCAGGCTGGTCATAGACTGCAGCTTTGATAACCTCATGGTGCTCAAGGTAAGATGAAGCCCAGTGCTTTTTAGTGGCCATTATAATAACATCAACTTCAGTAAAAGGCATCATTTTAATAAATGAATACATTTGTATGATGCGTAGCAGTGTTTGCAGAATCAAATGTATGACTCACTTAAACACAGAATTCCTTCTTTAAAGTTCAATCACTGAATTGAATCAGACTTACATTTTTTGTTTCATTATGTGTAGGATGTAAAGAAACTTCACAAGCAGATTCAGAGGTGCTATGCTGAGAACAGACGCACACTACATCCTGTACAGGCAAGTATTTCCTTCAAATAGATATAATAAAAATTAGATCTTTAAGATCAAATTTAAAGGTGAGCGTTTATTTAACACAGCCATTTCACATCCTCAGTTTTATCTTACAAGTCACGGCGGTCAGTTAAAGCAAGTCATGGACGAAATTAACAAAGGCTGGGTCAACTGGAAGGTATGATGGGAAATGACACTACTAAAAATAAATATTACAAATATTTATCGTTTTGTTCAAGTTTTTAATGTCATCTGACAGTAAATGTGATTTGCTGTTGTGAAACGGTTGTTTTTTTAGCAAGACAAAACAATAAAATCAATTTTTTTTCTTTAAATAAACAAATCATACTGTATATTTTTGGCTTGTGTGTACAAAATGCATATCTGCAACTTGCGTTTTCAAGACATTTAGTCAATGCTTAAAACTCTTCCTATGCTTTTGTGTTGC